AATTAGAGAGACGGACGTGGCTACTGCCACTAAGAAGGCGGAAGAAGAACTTCAAAATGCCGCGGCCGGGGAGAAGAAGAAGATGTCCAAGAGTGCTGCTAGTGGCAGTAAAGGCGGGCCTGAAATCTCGCTGGTCGAAATTGGACCGCGGTTTGTCCTTACGCCAATCGTGATACTGGAGGGAAGCTTTGGTGGCCCGGTTATCTACGAGAATCGCGAATATGTGAGTCCCAACCAGGTCAGGCGCGAAATACGGATGAAGAAGGCCTCTCGATACAATGCCAGTAGAACAGGACAGATTGATAGGAACGTCAAGAAGACGGAGCTGGGATTGAACACTGAAAGCTCAAAGGATAAGAAGGTCGATGAGCTTGATTCAAGAGTATTGTTTGCATAGAAAGTTTTTACTTCTGGTTCTGATTCCCTACTATTATCGGTGGTGATCAGGTTTGGGCATGGTATTTGCTTCTTCTATTCTATCGCGATATCCCTTATTTCCCCAAAAAGCTGGCCGGTGTAAATAGGCGTAAATGAACCTCTTGATTTGATTGATTGACCCTTTAGTCACTTAAGGCTTCTCTCGCCCAACATCAAATTTGCCAAGCCTGATGTATATCATTTATTATGTAATCAAAGTCTATATCTGCAACGCGCGATTTTGTCTTCGAGCTCGTTCGCCTTCTCTCTCCTTTCCAACCACGATCCCATAGCACCATGGCAATTCCCACCAATTTCAGCTTTTTGCGGCTTGAACACTCCTTCAGAATGAATATACCATCAGTTACTGATCATGCAGATGTGATCACCCTTTCTATAGCCCCCCGGGACGGAGGGGTGGTCGCCTGTTGAATTACGCAGCTCCGTGCACGGAGAGACTGGTTGATATCTTTCCCCTCTAAAGGGAGTATATCAAACATTTGTCCGTGTCATATTGCTTCGTTACCACTCGATCCTCTCTGTCTTTAATACCACTCATCCATCTCCTTCCGCCGATCGATTAGACGAGTGAACAGGTTCTAGAACCGTGCTACGCCTAGACGTTCAACCACAACTGAAGCTGAATATTCAGAATATAAATTTGAAAAAAGTGCGTTCGTACAACTGTTGTTTTACCGCCTTGCAAAATGCCGGGGACCAAGCTGACCAGGTCTTCTATAAGCTACCAGAGATATCCCCTACTCTTATTACAATGTTACCATATCTGTTCCCGACGGGGCTGTTGCTCCAGATATTTCAATCTTGCACATCCATTGCCGACATTCTAAACTTAGCTCTTACCTGCCGCCGATTCCACCAAATTTTTGCGTCCTCTCAAAAGCTGCCACTTCTTGCCTCTGCTGCAGAGGCTGAATACGGTCCATTGAAAGATATTATCCAATTGGTGACTCAGAACTCCAGCCAGCCCGCGCATGCGATTCGCGAAGCGCCCCTTTCAATTAATCTCCTTCAGCAAATTGTTGCAGTTGGGCGTGTGGCTCGAAAATGGGAGGAAATTTACCCTGTCAAGAAATGGAAAGTCGACTTCCAAGATAGACGACTATTGACCGACCACGAACGATACACCCTCCGTCGCGCGATTTATCGACTATGGCTGTATTCTAGGGCATTTCACTGCGCTCTCTACCCACGCGGGTCGCGAGCAGTTCCTGCCGTGGTCCGTGAGCGAGCTGAGTTGTTGCATAATTGGTCAACAGACGAACTAGCTGAGATGGAAGACACGCGCCTGGTCATTCGTGAAGTGGTTCAAAATCATATTTGTCCGAGTAACGGCACTATTCAGCGAAAGTTCCACAAGCGTTTCCCTGAAAACACTCAGTCCCTCTCGTTCAACATTCACCTGAATTACCCTCCATCGCACGGCTCGTCCGATTTTTACTTTGCGGATCCTTATCGTTCGCACACTCCGCCGCTACATGACCAGGAAACCTTCTTCCTTAACCCCTCGAAAAATGATCGATCTGGAACCAGCCAATTCTCAACTTCCACAAACAAATATGCCACTAAATTTCGCTCGGATCTTTATCATGATCCAGGCGCAGAGGGTTGGGGCGATGAAATCCCTCATTATTATGTGGTAGAGGATATGTTGAAACTAGATCCTGGACAGGTCATCTGGTTGAGGGAGAACACGCGACTCAAGGAGCAAGTGGAACGGTACGTCAAGTCAATTGGAGACTGGTTTGAAAATAACGGAGAAACCTTTGGTCAGACTCTTGAGTGGGTTCTCAATGAGCGTGGAGAAGACATAGAGGCATTCAAAGACGCCATCTTTGACCAGGAACTGGGAATTGCAAAGTCTGATATGTGATGGTTCATTTTCAATTTTTATATCGTTAGCAAGCACCTGTCAGCGACGATTATGAGATGTCACACCTGTATTGTAATCTCTTGATTCTCTCTTGTGGCTTTTGCTCATGGACAATAATTCATACGAAGTACTGGGTAGATATCGCCAATTTTTATACCCAGTCTGCAGTGATGAGGGACATAGACTTCTAATGTACTTCCATTATTTGTTATTTGGTATAAAAGGAGCCATTAATATTCGTTCAAAATTAATCAATTTCCCGCCCGAGCCGCCTTTGGCTGATAATTAAGCACCATGTTGTTTATGTATATATGGAACACAGGTGAAACAGGTGACTGCTTTTTTGCCCAACACAATATCTGCCTAACATCGTCCGTTGCCTCCCTGTATACCATTTAGTCTTGAATTCATCTAGATTTGAGAATTAAAGTTTTCGATCGATCGTAAGGATGGCTTGTGATTGTGACGAGCTGTACAGGAACGCAGTCTTGATATCAGCGTGGCCAGTAGGAGTATACATGTAGTAAGGAAATCTGCCGGAGGTTAGGGTCAAGCCCACGGAATACCATGAGGATATAAGGAAATCTGATAAGTAATTAGAAGGCGGAAAAAGGGAAATATGAAAAAAGTAAGGCATCTCCTATCATAGAAAACAAGTTCGTTGTAGAATCCGATTGAAAAGGAATGAAAAACCGATCTTTATCCTAGGCCGGATGAGAAGGGACTGGAAGTAAAGGGGGGAGGGAGAAGGTGTAATAACAGAAATGTAAACGCAGCACAAAAAAAAAAAAAAGAAAACCAGGATATGAAGCTCCAGCCACCGGTACCCTTCATAGTTGCTTTGCACATTAAATGACATCCAACGTAAACACGTAGAAATAGGATAGGATTCGATTAATCAACAGCACCCTTGTTTCTTCTCGGAGTCTGGGGTTTTAGTGATTTCCACGACTTTGCGGTCGCCGAGCTGGTTTGCGGAAGAATCGCCACTTTCAAGGGCCTTACTTGATACAATGCGGAAGATTTCTGCCAGGAGATCTTAGTCAGTCACAAGTATTCCGAAAATCCAACAGAGTGATCTTACCAGTGAGAATATTTTGGAAGGCAAGCTCGACATTGCTTGCGTCCAAGGCAGAAGTCTCAATGAAAGATAAGTTATTTTCACCTAAAACCATCAAAGTTAGCTGAGGAACTATACAAATATTTTGCCTCCCTAAAAAGCGGCAACATACTCGCAAATTGCTTGGCCTCCTCAGTGGGCACAGCCCGCAAATGTCTAAGATCGCTCTTGTTTCCGACCAACATGATGACAATGTTCGAGTCGGCGTGATCCCGTAGCTCCTTCAACCATCGAGTAACGTTCTCGTAGGTCTGATGCTTGCTGACATCGTAAACGAGAAGAGCGCCAACAGCGCCACGATAGTAAGCGGAGGTTATGGCGCGATATCGTTCCTGTCCAGCAGTATCCCAGATCTGAGATTTGATGGTTTTTGAGTCAACTTGGATAGATCGAGTAGCGAACTCTACACCAATGGTGGACTTGGAATCGAGGTTGAATTCATTGCGCGTGAATCGGCTCAGCAGATTAGACTTGCCGACTCCAGAATCTCCGATAAGCACCACTATACAGGTACCAACACTGTCAGCTATCTCGCGCTAAACCCATAATACTGCCAGAGGAACAGAGGAGGGGGGTAGGTTTGTCTTCAACTAGGACTGCTTGGTGGCATGCGGACAGGAGTGCGGGGAGAGGCGACAGACCCTTAAATAGGAACTACATTTTTAACCATGTGTTAGATCATAGATTCCAGCAGCTGAGCGGTAAACCTTGGGATATAACTCACATCGTATTCGTCGTTAGCCATGAGTAGCGCTGTTGGAGGAGTGTGCTGGTATGAACAGGCAACAGGGCAGCTTGTAGTTGAGCAAGGGAGTTCTGATCTGGAGTAAAGTGCAGGGTCTGAGATATCAGGGAGGCCGTGGATGCGAGAGTAAAAACAGAGTGTCCTTCACTTGGAAGCAAGCTGTTGGTTTGTAGTATGGCTTTCGTCAAAGTGGGCAACCGAGATGCAGCTACAACGGAATGTCTCCCCTGACTTTTGGTGGATTTGGACGGAGGTCGTTGTGCTTTTCCGGAGTACGCAGAACGCACTCGGGCAAACGAAGTCGCTGGTACTTCACATAACATGTGACTTCGCACAAAAACTGAAGTACAAGTAACATTAGTCAGCGAGCTGAGTCATCCAGGCTGGTTATGTCATTGCCTGTTCCCAAAGGGGTTAAGCGTAGAAATTCACTTAGTTTATCAAAGAAATAATAATAATAATAATAATAAAATAACATATATATTTCAAGCTTTGCCGAAGACCTGAATAAAACAATGAGACAAGAAACATCTAAGGTGCGGAGTTGAGGAGCTGAGAGGCCAAAGGGGAGCTTTTCTGGGGCAGCACTGGCTGCAAGGGACTGACCGTATCTAGTGGATACCCCCGGAGTGACTTTCACCTCGTGAAGGGAGGAGAAGCAGCGCGTCTAGTTCTCTCAGACACGGTCTGTCTTAGCTACGGCCTACATCTGCCTGCCTTGCACAACAGCTAAACTAGCTAAAGAAAAATTACGGCTGTTTTAGCTATTTTGAATTGGCCTTCTGGTCAATATATCTGTGTTCTTTCTTTAACCTGATGGTCCCCGGATGGCGTCTCAGTGTGCCTTATATAGGGGTGAGGATGATGAGGATGCCATCTCGCTCACATCCACTGTGCCTAGTGAGCCGCAAGAAGAGTATAATATAACTGGCGTACTGGCTGAGAGGATCGCGGACAACGGCGCGACCGAATATCTTGTCAGCTGGGAAAACTATCCCATTCATAGGTCCTCCTGGGAGCCGGCAGAGAATTTTGGGGACCCTGAAACCACGCTGAGAGAATGGAACCAGAAGAAAGAGGCAATTACGAAGGGAGATGCGCCCGAGTTTGACCTTATTGCTTTTGAAAACCTCCTCGCAGGAATAGAGGAGGCCAAACTACGAAGGAAAAGAAAACGTAGGCTCAAGCGGATGCGTCTTGGGCTGGCCTGCGGAAGCGAGTCCGGGGACAACAATCCAGAAAGCCACGAGGAAGATAATGGTGATGGTAGCAGCAAAAGCAGCAGCAGTGATGAACCCACGAGCTCACGCATTTCTCCTGCCTCGAGGAAAAGAGGGGCTGGGATCCTCCTGCCAAAGCAAGAGTTGATGGCTACTCGAAAGTCGTCCAGTAGCGCAGCTGGTAGCTCAGATGCAATCAAGGGACGTACTTTTAAGGCAGCTCTCCGTGAGGCGTCTCAGCCTCCAAGGCAGCTAAAGATACCCCCTTCCTCAAAACCAAAAGTACCATCTACGGCGCCTCCCCCCATAAAAGTGTCTGAAAAACCTGGAACTAGGCTACCGATCAGAACATCCTCTGTCAATGTTATAGAGCCCGGGAATGAGGGTCAGACGGTGCAGTCATCAACCGCTAATCCTCCCACCAGCATGGCTCCTTCAAGAAAGTCTGTATTCACTTTCGCACCTGCAACGGCTCGAAGAGGCGGCTCCATGACCGCGGCAGTAGGGAGCAGGCAGCCCTCAGGACCCCCAAACAACAGACTCTTTCGAACCCTATCAACTCAGCGGAAATACCACAAAATGTCTCGAACCGAGAGGCCCCCTGACATTTCTCAACTTGATCTTCGGCCTCCAAGCGAGTGGTTGACCGCTGCAGGAAGGTCTGCACTTCGAGAGATCTCTTTAGGTAGGAAACGTATCGGAGCAACTTCAATGTCATCGTCGATAGATGATTTGTTCGTCGCTGAGGATGATAACAACGGTTCTCTCCCAAATAACCCGCCTCCCGTGCTTTCCAAGGATTCTAACACGAACGCCGACGGCAAATCCCTATGTACAAGGATTTGGCGTGAATGGAACAAAGGGGATGTTATGGTTCACCTTGTATTTAGTGCAAAGGAAAAAGTTATTGGAGATATACGTATCACCGGTCTCCCTCATTCAGCTAGATCTTGGTTGCTTTCTTTAAAGCAAGGTGATCAAATTGTTATTGATCTTCAGGAACTTTGCTCCCCCAAGGGGTTTCTCCAGCTGGTACGTGACTAACTCTCTAATACAGGATATATTTTTAGGTATTTCTAACTTATTATTCTTGCAGGAGCCAAACAAAGTTAATCATGGGCATGTTATCCCTTATAACGATACGATGAATCAAGTAAATTACTTAACAGAGTATCTACTTAACAATCAATCAGCTGCAATCTGGCGTTCCCTAGTCTGGCCAAGTCGCAGTATAATTATATACCCTTCCCAAGCTTATGAGTGGAGATTTCTTCATAAGCAATCACCATCACATCTATCCCCAATGCTTCGGCTTGTCATTATAACTCTACCTGATACCTCCGAGTTAAGAAAAATACCGCTGCCTAGTCCAATACCAAGTTCTTCACATCAAACACAGTCAGATGTACAACCAGGGAAAGGTCCAGAAGAAGTTGTACTTGCCCAAGGATACTCAGAAATAGCTGTCGGCACCGCTACCGATACACCAAGTTTGGTTTCTTTGCAGGAACCACCTCGCACTATTACTCTTACTCTTAAGACACCGCTGCCTCCGAATGAATCGACTTCATCACCAGCACAACACTCGTCACGAGAACTTGCCACTAAATCCCTACCCGAGAGGGCCCGGGATTTAGATGTTGAGACTTATTTTCAAAATCACTACCGAATCACTTTCGAATACTTAACTCGTTCGAAGTATTCAAAGTATCGCAAAGAGACACTACCGGTGTTTTATCTTATATTCCCCTCAATAGAAAGGGAGGAACATGACTTGATTCAGCAACTATTAGTCTTCAACAGAATAGCTCCCTATTCCCACAGGAACCAAGGGGATTGGACAAAGTTTATCAAAGATGTGACCGAAGCAGAAGTAAAACCGCAAGGCATAATAATTGTAAGCAAATCTATAACTTCCCCCGCCTGCTTGATATATGTATCTAACAAGCAGGATGCTATATATAGTGTCATCAGAAGTTCAATGCCTATAATTGCATGCCTAAACTTCAGGAACTTCTTCACCACCAAGTAAATGTATTCTCTTTGTCGCTGGCGCGCCCATTTAAATCTGTGAATAAAAGGCACCATATTATTCGGCTGTTCCCTAATGGATGTGTGATTCTTATAACGGAGGACTTCATTCTTCACGACCCTAAAAGCGCATTGATGGTGATAAAATGGGTCTCTAATATGTTTTGGGATAATAATGCCAAACGTGGCCCTAAATTATTTTTCCGCCCAAATATACGACTTTGGCTACAACAGCTGTGGCCAACTTGGCCGGATGAGACGTGAGCTACCAGTTACCAAATTACCCACATTCCCTTGGTGTAGGGAACATTAACTAACCTCCAATTCCTACGCAGTCTATACCATATTTTTTGCATTCTAGAAGCTCTCATACCCGACTATCCCAGCGGATGCTACGTTCCTGGTCGCGAAGACTACCCCTGGAGCTTAGATGGAGAAACAGATGACGAGGGTCAGCCTCACGTCGTCATTTCTACCCCTCATATACCGAATTATGGCTGGAGATCTGAAGATGAGCATCCAGATATACCTAAGAATTTGACGCAAGGGGCGCGAAATACCGACCATCTTGTTGAATATTTCGCAGGCTGGGCCATCAGTAATGTCGAAAATTTCAGGTATTTCCCTGTGCTGGTACATTCAATGCCCCAATTACGATGGGAAAAATGGAGCCATGTAAGTTGTACCCCATGAAATTAATCTATTGTCTTCATACGGATAAAACTCTATTGCTTCTCTGTCAGTGATAAAGCTAACTATGTGTCAATAGATTGAGATACTAAACTATCCTGCTTTCTATGAAATATACATGAAGGCTGACATAGCGGCCACTAGCGAGTCAACACGAAACCAAAAAGGTCCTTCTCAACCTGCGATAGCTGAGGGTCAAACTAATACATGATGGCCGAATTCAGGCGTCATATATTTCCTGATTCAATATCAAATGGCGAGGCATACCATACTCACCAATTTCTGTTCACAATATCAACCATGTACAACTTTTCCTTTTCTTTGGTTAAGGTTCAACCGTTGTACTCCTAGGACGTACATCTTTGGTTTCGGAGGCACTATAGTCTCGAAAAGGAATATGAATAGGTGGAGGAAAAGGAAAGGAATAATAATAATAATATTCGTTGTCATCATTCGAAGGATATAATCACACCCATACTCCTGTTATATACAAACTCTAACGCCAAAAAAAAGAGCCAGTCTCCCGCTAACTGTAAATTAAGATGCCCCTGCAACCGAACCAGCAGTTGAGCGTGACCGCCACTCCTCAAAACTATGCGGTTGGTTTCGGACTCTGCCTTCTTTCGAGGCGTCTCTCTCTCTTTTCATCCGCTCCTCCCACTCACCCTCCTCTGCAGCAATAAGCGCATGGAATTTCCCGCTCTGACCACGAGAGAGATACACGGCTTTCTCCTTCCGCGCTGCAACGGCTTCGGTGACAAGGACAAACTTCACGCTTGATCCCGGTGCTTCGAACATTGCATCAGCCAGAATTGATTCCATCTCTGTTCGTAAAGCGCGAGCTCCTGTGGACATCGCGAATGCATTAGCCGCAACTTTATGGAGAGCGGCGGTAGTGAAGCGTAGTTCTATTCCAGAAAGGGCAAAAAGTGTGGTATATTGGTTTACTAACGAATTGCGTGGTTCGGTGAGGATTCGGAGGAGGAGGGAATGGGATAATGGAGATAGCGCAGAGGTGATGGGGATACGACCAATTAATTCTGGGATAAAGCCATATGCCTGGAGGTCACTTGGTGTAACAAGATCGAGAGGGTTAAAATATACAGGCTCTTCATCAGGTGCCGTTGGTGTTTGCGTTGGTGTGAAAAAGGGAAGATACTTCTTATACAGGGCTTCTTCATGCGACCCAGGAAGTATCGGAATAGGTGCGTTGTTCTTCGTTTGCGTTGAATCATTTTGAAACGACGAGGCTCGAATTGGTTGTCCGAAGCCAATTGACCCTCGTGATATTCTGTCCATGATGACCTTTTGTAGGCCAACGAATGCTCCAGAAAATATGAAGAGTATGTTATCTGTTCGAATGTTGTACACTTCTGCCTTTCCGGAAGGACCCGAAGTTGAATTATATGAGGTCCCACCCGAGGAGCCACTACCTCCAGGGCTAGGGCGCGAGGCGTTTCGCTCGGGTTTTGCTTGAATCTGAATAGTTGTACCCTCAATGATTTTCAACAATGCCTGTTGAACTCCTTCCCCGCTTACATCTTTGCCGTGACTAACCTTTGCAGTGGCAATCTTGTCAATTTCATCAAGACAGATAATGCCTCGTTCGGCTTGTTCCACATCATAGTTCGCCGCTGCAAGGAGGCGGTGAACGCATACATCGGCATCTTCGCCAATATACCCCGCCTGGGTAAACGGTGTACAGTCAGACATACTGAACGGCACTGAAAGGACACGGGCGAGTGTCTTGGCCATCAATGTTTTGCCCACACCAGAAGGTCCTAGTAAGAGTATGTTGGATTTCTCCAGCATGTTAATGGATGAATCAACAAGGGGGTCTTGTTCTGAAGGTAAATTGTCATCATAATATCTCCTTGGGCGGAAAGATGTATAGTCCGCTGCTGACCTGGGAATTCATCTATAGTAATAGTAGCAGTTAGCTTTTATACGGGGTCGGTAATTGTTGACTAATCTCAGGCTGAGCAGAAAGGTTCATACCTTCTACTGGATGACTCTCCATCGACTCCCTCCGTGCCCTCTGAGCAAGGAGTTCTTCATGTTCTTCTAGCCTCCTTTGTAGTTCCTGAACTCTCTGGTAATGGTTATAAACTGCCACACTCAACACGCGCTTGGCACGATCCTGTCCAACGACGAAGTTGTCTAAGTGCTGCTTCAGCACCTTCGGAGTGACTCGAGGAACACCGAACGAAGGTGTCGACCCCAAGGGTCCCGGCGTAGGTATCCCTGTCTCATAGCTATTTGTATACGGCTGGTTTGTAAAATCTGATCTGTGAAACTGGGTAGACTTCGATGCCGAAACTGAGAAGCTCCGACGAATCGAATGGAGCGCAAGGTAGGAGAATCGAGCTCGGGAGTGGGCAGTAGACGTGGTTGATGCCATAATCTCCCGCCGTAGGAGTATATAAATGTATGGATGGAGGAACCTCATGTGTTGGAGCCTGTCGGCGTTGGACAGGAATTGCTGGCGTTGTTGTCATCGAGAGTGGCTCTTCCCAGCGGGCAAAGCGACTGGGAGCCGGGGTAACACCACGTGACTCCCCGCGATCGTCCGCCATTTTATCCGTTAACTACATCTTATCTCCACGTGATCGAAAGTTTAGTTAGCCAAGTTCGATCAGATAACAAAACTACCAGACGCGGCACAATTCTACCCTTATTCTATTTCCTTATACTATCGGCCATAACTGGCATATTGCTAAGATACCACTATTCCCTCTAAAAATAAAATCCTTATTGTAAGCCCTACCTTCATGCCTTACCACTTCGGAACTAGTTAGTATCGAAGTCTGCCACTACATCGAAAGGAGCGAGCCCACACTAATGGTAGACAGAGCTGAAGTTTTCTGACAGTTAGTTAACCGGGACAAGAATATCGGTGGAGTATATAACAACTGCGCCTTCGGTATCACATTTATCCAAAATGATTACTTGTTACTTTTAGGAAGAATCATCCCCTGGTATGGAGATCTAGGGGCGTTTTGAGTATAGGAGGTATTTACGTGTAGTTAGAATCTACTCCCAAAAAATAACACTGGTTGTCTAGAAGTTCCTAGAGGTTTTGTGGAATAACATAATGAATTTAACTAAAGAAGAAGAAGAAAGAAAGAAAGAGAGGGAAGGAGGGAGGAAGGGGAAAGGACAAAAGAACCTGGCCACTTTATACAGGATATGTTTATCATTGAGGGTGATTATCCTTGAGCTGAGCTGGTGGCCCAGCATAAAAACAGAAGTGGATGATGTATTTCAATATTCGGCCAAATACCAAGGCCCAGTAATAGTGGAGAGAAACAGCGAATTCCAACGGGAATACTGCAATACCATCCTCTCACCAGCGGAATAAATCACCTTTATGGGCTTTCTTGAGTAAGTTCAATGTGAACGATTGAAAATACAAGCCCAAGAACTTCATATGATTTACTGAAGTTGGTTCGAATGGCCCAAATTCATGCATAGTCATAAACACCCTGTCGTTGTGTTTCCCAGTTTTTAAGTATTCTATATAGTCGTTGTCATACTCTGCAATGATAATATAGACCTCATGGCAGTCCTGGGATATCATCAACCGTCTAAGATACTGTCAGTCTCCCTAGTCATTATCCATTAATGTTATTGGGGACCTACCTATATCTGGTACCGGTTTGCTTCACCATGTCAGGTTCTGCATTGATCCAAGCAGCCATTTGCGCACTTTCTTGCGCATGAGGTAACGCTACGTCTCGTACTCCTGCTTTCACTTCCAGAATAGCCAAGGAAATATCCATTTTATCGGTTCGGAATCTGAGGTGACCGTCAGTTCTAGCTTCGTAGAGCTTTCTTGTGGGGGTTTTGAAGACGAAAGCCTTCCGTTCCAGGGTCCATGGAAAGTCGACCAAGGATTGTTGGCTGAGGCAAACTGCATTGAGGGCCAAAATTAGAGCCGTATTCACGGTTTGTTCGTCGTCAGCCGGAGGGAATTGATAGCCTTCACCAGCTGCCGCGGGAGAAAGGTCGTCTATAACCATGGGGCTGCCCTCTTCATCATCATCTAAAACAGACATGTTCATTCCCCTGTTGGTTGGTGTTTGTGGACGAGAACGGCTAGCAAGCGGATATGCATCCAGTCGAGACGGAAAATTGTAAGATTGAGGCTGGCCAATAGAACGTCCGGGAGTGCTGAAAGGGTCTGAACTTGATGAAGGAAGATTCGAAGCCAGAGTTTGCCTTGAAGCCATTGCCTGCCTTGTCCGTGAAGAAACAGGAGACGCAATTTTATCCGAGTCGTTCTGTGAATCCCCAGGCAACCGTGCAACCTGCTTTTGAAAGGACCACAACATGTCAAACCTGCCAAATTTTGGCTTGTCGCCGAGGCCTGTTGTCTGGAGGGTGTGATAGTATTCTTTCCAAATCGACATACCCCCAAGGTTCAGCTTTGCGGCTTCCAACGACAAATCCCAATTGTTGTAATTAAATGTGCCAGCTTTGTACCTTTTCCACAGGACACGGAGAGCAAGAAATTGGTGCTCTCCAATCTTGGAGCCTGATTTCAGGCTATCAAGGTTATGGATTGGCTGGAACACAACACCGTGATCATCGACGTGCTTGAGCCATTCTGCTCGGCTCGAGGGGAGTGTTATGGGCATAGTGCCAGCAAGAATGAGTTGCGGTTAACCGTCAATGATGTCGGTACTTTATCGCAAATCGATGGGCTTGCCTTTTTGGCTCGGCCGTTTGAGAAGTGGTTATATAGCGATGGATATCTTCTGATAAATGTTGCCCTGAGATGGAGAAAGGGAAAGGGGGATTGGGAATCGTGAATTTTATGTATGAGACCTTGTAACAAACGATTCACTTTCCAGTGACTAGATATCTATACTTATAGAGCGCAAGGTGTCCTTCACTTACTTCGTTCACTTAACCGCCGGCTAGTAGTTAATAATAGTACCCATCCATGCTTACTCTGCCTCTACGCGCCAGGAGAAATTTTCCAAGGTAGCTTGTAGCCTATAAAACTCGTAATATGCATCACAGGAGTTGATTGACCAGGATTAGTAAAAACAGAGATACGCACCTGGAGGTTTTGGCCCCCCTTCCCCCTCCCTCAGGCGAAAGCAATATACAGACGCCTTTTGATTCGCTGTCACTGCCAATTTGGCCCCCAAAACGTTCCGTGTCATTTTTGTGTTTCTAAGAAAGTGACGCCTATATCATCAGTGCATGGGCGGGAAAATAACATGGGTGCCCATGCTTCTATCTCTCTATGCGTCGGGAAGTTTTGAACATCCATGCCACGCATGACAGGGGCTGTAGCCCCAGGAGTTTTACTCCTTCTCCAGAATCATGGAAGGCTGTTCTCTTGATTCGCCATGTCCGTTTGGCCCCTCCTCCTCCCTGATAGAACTCCCCGTATATGCATGGTTCCATGATCAGAATCACATCAACAACGTGCGTACATATGGCGGGAGATGCCTGCTGAGATTGCTGATTTGTGGATCGACGTTGCCGGTTAAGCGCCCGGGGCTGAAAAGTGGAGACTAACCAACAACCAACAGCTAACAAACTTCGGGCAGCGCGCTAAGTGAGTTGGTGAAATGGGGAATTAGTCAGCTAACTAGTTAACTATTATTAGCTTTTGTGTTGATTTGCTGCTCGCAACAACTACCTTAACCGCTGCGACAAAGCACCTTCAGCATATATACTCCAGTCTTCCCTCTTCTACCCTCCACCCCTCTTCCTTCTATCCTTCAGAATTCGGATCATCCATGAGATAGTTACTTCCTTACCACTTATTTTACGTCTGTGAAACTGAGATCCATAGTCCAGCCCTTCCAGTCATGTCACGAGTCATCGGTCGGCCCAAGCGAACGAGTGCAGAGGTCGCTCAGATACTCCAAACAGCGGTGAAAAATGGCTTAGATCGAAAGAAAGCAGACCGAATTCTTTCTGAAGCCAAAATGAGTGACTATCTCATGAATATTTACGACCACTTGGATGCTTTGAAAAACCCCTACCTGACTCCAGAAACCAACTTACCAGGTATCAAAATCAATATGGGTGTCAAACCAAGATTCTTTGAACAGACGAGCGAGAGGGAGCTAAAGGAGAAATATAATCTTCCAACATTCCAGCTTGACCCCCATACCAAAGAGAGTCCAATCCCCCCGAACAATTCCGACTCATCTTACGGTCTCTGGCTGGATTTGCAAGAAGTTTTTTCGAAAGTTGGCCTGTTAGCTGAGAAATCACTGGCTCGCCAGCGTGGACTGGAAATACTTGAGTCAGTCGAGAATGCTATCTTCCTTTGAAAATATCTGTAGATACTAAACATCGTCATTTCTAGGAATCGCCATGGTGATAACCCAATGATGATAGAATTTACTGGCTCTCCAACTCGAACCCACGATTATCAGTGGTGCACAAAAATGATTTACAAATACAAAGATTTCCCTCACCTCATGGTCAAGTCCCTCCATAAGATCACTAGGGATGGCACGGAGAATTGCATCTTACGAAGCGAGTTGATGATCCTTGTCAGACTCATAGTATTGAAGGCCCGCAAGGACGAAAACGAGCCTCATGAGATCTTCCCCGTACGTCACACATGTGTTTATCTAACCCCCCAACTTCCATTCACTAACATATTTCAATAACTAGGTACTTTTAATATCCGTCCGTCCCTATCAGTATGTGATTATTGAGGCATACTTCGATGGCAAATACGTCCATGTGAACTATGGTAAACCCATAGCCATGTCCGATAAGTTGCCACCCAAAGAACAAGACCAAAGAATGAAGTATGTGATCGGCTGGGCAACAGCCCAACCCTGTGGGAAAACCGCCAGCTATAAAGACAGCCCGCAGTAATTGGAGGACTATGACTAAGTTTGATGTGGTATGCGGACGAATTTGCTAGGACTTCGCGCTTTTTGCTTTGGCTTCGAGACTTGATTAAGCTACCCCCAGAGATGATTTTTTTTGCTGGCTCGCACGTAAATAGTTATTGTTTTTCTTGTGACGCCGGCGATGGAAATTTGATGGCCATGTGGTATTTCATTTGTCCAGGCGTTAGTGGTGCTTTCTACATAGTTACGACAGAGAATAACATCAAGTCTCCATGTTTAACTGCTAAGTCCATGAATTCAATGTCTTGCGCATTACTAAAGCCGGTATTAACTCTCGTGAAAATTAAATTAAACCAATAGATGCTCAGGATATCATAATAATGAGTGTGAATTGGCTCATTTTAGGCCCGACACAACCCTTGTTTATCCCAAGCCTCGCTGCCTACTCCCGAACGGACAAAAAAGAGGCCCCTTGGATCCCATCTGTTCTTCACACGGAGAAGAGTATTATAATTCGTGCCCCAGAAGGTCTGTTGAAACCTTGGCTCGTTCACATCAGCCTCATTGGTATAAGCACCCATGTCAGGCTCCACAGCAGCGAGCAATGGTATTTCTTCCGCAGTCAATTTGGTTGAAATCTTCTCCTGTTCTGCAAATGTGGAGTCGATACTCCAGTCACGACTGATAACAAGGTGAACCAATGCTTTTCTCCATGAAGGATTGAGCGCACTTTGAATATGTGTGCTCTTAGCGACTTGTCCGCCAGCAACTAGATGTCCAATGGCAGGTTGCAGATTTTTAAAATCCAGCTTGGAAAGCGCAGCGGTGAGATTTGCTGCACCTCCTGGAGCCTCAAGGAGTTTTCTGGAGAATAATCTTGAGCCTAGGATATTTACTCCGCCGCCGTCTCGAGGTGGTTTCTGATCAAAAGCGGACCTGAAAGCTTCAGTTGACGACGAAACTGGGACGCTAACGCTGGCAACGTTGATTCCAGGGATTGAGGAGAGGCTGGCAAAAAGGGGCCTATAGAGGTTGTCGACATGTGCTTTGTCTGTCTTGTTTGCATAGTAAAATGCGGCAATAATAACAGCTGCGCTTTGTGGGCCGAGGGTAACATTGGGAAGCATGTAATAATAGCCTGAACAGCCACCATCGCTAAGGGTGGGCAAGTATGCTTGGAATTTCTCGACTGCAGCCCAGTATGACTCGTTTGCCTTTCCATCCATGGTGACGTTCACCTGTGACACGATGGTAGGAGGGTCCTTGAAGGTCCGGAGAGTAACACTGGTGACGACGCCAAACGTTCCTCCTCCACCACCTCTTAGAGCCCAAAACAGGTCTGAATTTTGATATTCATTTGCAGTCACGAATTTTGCCTGAATAGGTTGTCAGATACTTGTGTGGAATAAATGCAATACAGAATGGGTGGAAATGGCCGTGATTTATACTTACACCTGCAGTTACCACTTTGTACTCCAGTACATGATCGGTGGACATACCCTTCCATGGGCCCAGAGGTGAATGGCCACCACCCTGGATATACCCACCAGCTGCTCCAACTGTAGTTGACAGACCAATAACCTGCGTCAGTCCTCTCTTGCCTGCAGCCTCGTACAGCTCATTCAGTTGAACACCAGCACCGATTGTAACTGCTTGTCCTATGCCTCTACCATCCGGTTTCCCCTCTGGCACGAAGTTGTCGGTGAAGTTGATGCTTTTCATATTATGAGTCAATATCTGTAACGATTGTGGCCCAGTCGAGCGCCCGAGAAAGTCATGTCCCGTATTCTTAATTACCAGCCGAAGGTTATATTTGCTGGCGAACCGTACTGTCTTCTGGATATCCAATGGGGACTGAACGACAGCAGAGTATAATGGTATCCTACCCTGACCACAGGGAACTTGTCGAGGCCCGTCGATATAGCATGACTCGTTCTTCTCCGGCCATGTCTCCCAGTTGATACTCTGTACCGCGCCTGGCTGTGCGGATCGCCAGGAAGAGTCCGTCTGCATACTCTTCACACTGTCACAAAGGCCTCCATTGTATGTTGGATCGTGGCAAACGGTTCCCACGGGCTTTACTGCGATTAAATTTCCTGATAGGGTCTTGTTGAGCGTCTGCCAGAGGCCTGGGGATGGCCAGCAAGACTGGTCAGGTGTGCATCGACATCGAGGTCCCTCTGGGGCCGCATGTGTTGCCCCGAGGAACGACAATAAAGCCGTTAGGTATGCTGTACTTCTCATAGTATGCTGATGTGGTCGTGCGTAGGTATAGATCGCAATTCCTTCGGTAAACAAAACCAAGACAAGCCACCTTCCACGTATTTCGACTCAGTATACACCAGGAAAAGAAGAGTTCTGCGGTATATGCCAACCCGGGGAAGGTAAACTTATATAGAAAAAAACTATACAACCTTCCCCCACAGCCAGGCAGCCTGGGAACTGGAGTTGATGTCGCTCCCGAAAAGACAAAAAAGTCTCTTTCTCACGGCCACGGCCCACCCGGCTCCAGGCTGCTTGTCGATTTGGCCGACATATCGTTATAGTTCAACCCTAATTCAATTCGCCTGCAATCAAGCGCAATCCTTGACTCAATCTGGGAGGGCAAAGTATAAGCCTTGGGGGGAGGATACGACTTCATTTCCCCATCGGGCGCACCAGGAGACGCCCTGTTGAGCAGTGCTGCCAGGCAGCAGCTTTATTTGAACCCCTATTACTCCGTAATCCATAGATATTTCTGTAGTTTTCTCTTGGGGCGAAGCCCCCCATGGTGACGGGGCTTGCAATCCTGGAGTAGTAGAGGAGCTAAGTATATGCATCTCCAGATGGGGTAACCAGCGCGGACGATAGTCAGCTCCTCCATATCCATCATCTTGACTCCTATCCGGGCTCCAGCCGAAGCTAAGTTAGCCTGTCAGCGCCCGACTTGCTTTGGCCGGGAGCTCACGGGCTCGTATTCTTTTTGCTCAATTTCGGCATCAACTGCGCTGACATCAAAACATGTGAAGCACAGCCCGGATGATGGTTCCACAAGGAACTGGAGCGAAGTTCCGAGGTAGCCTGGCCAGTTGAGCCTATTGTCGAGTTGACCTCTTGATCTGGCAAAAGGGTCGTATTTCTTCGTAGCAGTGCCATTTAATTCTGTCTTGGTGGCTCAGCTGGATTGCTGCTAGCTCTGTGTTGTCTGCTGCGATACTCTCAGCTCATGTGTCTGGACGAGAAGCCAGCTGGCTTGGTTGAGATTGCGATGAAGGCTTCGACGATCAATCGTACCAGTGTTTCTGAGACAGGCGCCAGCGCTAGTTGACTAACTAGCTGCTGCAAGGGAGACCAGCTAGAATCTCTCTCGAAGGTGAAGAGTGGGAGATTATTAGTTCCTCTCTAGTGAGGTTGCCGTCGATGAGGCGATATCCGCCTGCTCCGGGTAACTAAATAGTTGGGCGGAGTGGCGACAGGGAGCGCGACCTAAGGAAGCCTTTTTATTATCTTTAAGTCTTTATCCCTGGGGCGGATTAATATCAAAGTCGAGAGCTGACTTACGAACGGCCATGTATGAGCAGCGACAGTTAACAATTGACATGGAAGCAAAAGGACGTTCTGACCTTTCATGATATCTATAAAACAGCTTTCGATCATGGAAATATCAAGTGATGCCCCGTCCATATACTCTCAACTTACAAAAAAAAAATACATTTCTTTCGACAAATGAAAAAAGAGGTTTCCTGGGAGGACTAAATTAAAATGAACAGGAATCAAGGCTTGGGATACAAGGTGAGTTGGTTTCTTTAATCTACATATCTTCACACATCTATTGTTTTTCAAGCTCAGCCAGGATCTTCTCTCCCTTGGCGCGGGCAGACTCAATGTCCCCAACCATGTAGAAGGCGGCTGCACGGGAGTTAGCATTTGTTCAATTACCAGGAAGGGGAAATAAAGGGGAGAGAAACGGGAAAACGTACCTTCTGGGAGATCATCACAATCACCGTTGATGATGGCCTTGAAGCTTCGGATGGTGTCCTTCAAGTCGACAAGGGCACCCTCGATACCAGTGAAGACCTGGGCAACGGTGAAGGGCTGGGAAAGGAAACGTTGCATTTTACGGGCACGCTCGACGGTGAGCTTGTCAGCTTCCGACAATTCGTCCATACCCAGAATAGCAATGATATCCTGGAGGGACTTGTACTCCTGCAACATCTGCTGGACACGGGTGGCGGTGTTGTAGTGGTCCTCACCGACGATACGGGGGTCAAGCATACGGGATTTGGAGTCAAGAGGGTCGACAGCTGGGTAAATACCCAACTCAGAAATACCACGGGACAAGACAGTGGTGGCGTCCAAATGGGCGAAGGTGGTGGCAGGAGCAGGATCAGTCAAATCGTCAGCAGGGACGTAGACGGCCTGGACGGAGGTAATGGATCCCTTCTTGGTGGTGGTAATACGTTCCTGCATACCACCCATGTCGACGGCAAGAGTGGGTTGGTAACCGACGGCAGATGGGATACGACCAAGCAGGGCAGACACTTCGGAACCAGCCTGAGTGAAACGGAAAATGTTGTCGATGAAGAGAAGCACTAGAATATACTTTGTTAGAACGTGGATTTCTTAAAGTTCTATTAGCCATAAGAGACTCACCGTCTTGACCCTCCTCATCACGGAAGTACTCAGCAATGGTCAAACCAGTAAGAGCAACACGGGCACGGGCACCTGGGGGCTCGTTCATCTGACCGAAGACCAGGGCGACCTTGGACTCGCCATCAAGCTGAATGACACGGGTCTCCTGCATTTCATGGTAGAGATCGTTTCCTTCACGGGTACGCTCTCCGACACCAGTGAAAACAGAGTAACCACCGTGAGCCTTGGCAATGTTGTTCTATACAAACAATTAATACTCGAAATTATTTTTTCACCAACGACGAAATTGTCGAATTGTCCAATTTTCGCCTAATGTTGTTTCTTGGGGCAGGGTTTCAAATGACTTACAATCAACTCCTGGATGAAGACAGTCTTACCGACACCGGCACC